TGAATATTTCACTAGAAGTCATCTCGCATTATTTGATTTTCTACTACACTCATATTTGATTGATTCTCACAAACTTATGAGTCTTTGAAGAGGAATAGAGAATCATCCTTTTAAAAGTGAGATTGAAGTTATACTTGAAGTGTCAACTGAAATGAATAACTGGGCAAGAATCAGAGCTCTAAACTTCAAACAATTCTTGTTAGCGGGGGGGTCTTCATAAAGAGTTTTGTTATTTAGCTTGAGGTAGCTATTAAGGTAAATTACAGTCAATGAGGTTAACAGATTTTGGCTTCAGAGACAGTAACAGCTACAAATTTTGAAATATGGCCCTAGAATTATAGAGCTGTGCAAATTAATATACACATAAAAATATAGATCTGCAAATCTCCAGCTTGTTTCACCAAAACCATGCTCAAATACATATCATTATTAAACAATCACCCAAGCCCAACTGGGATTTATTGTGCACAGGTTTATTATGCATTTGAAGATACCAAAATATTTGAAATTACTTTCTGGTTCAATGACTTCTTGGTCATGGTAGATTCTGCTGTGTTCTGCTGATGGGTCACGTAGGTAACTTACTGGGGTTTCTAGTTTTTGTCTGGGGTTGCGGGAGGATGTAGGGAAGTGGAAGTTGTATAGCAATATTTATTAAACTAAGAGCAAGGGAATAAGGGCCACATTTCCTAAACATGGTACAGATGGCACTGACTTCAACTTGTTTATAATCCACTGCTAGTTTTAACAATTTATTTCAAAGATTTTTGTGAAGAAGGAGGAAAGGTTGGGACATAGAGCTGAGAAGGTTTTTCTCAGGAGGCAGTTGGAATGAAACACTTAAAATTTGTCAAAAGAACACTACTCGTGGAGAGCTGTGCTACTATTCACTATGGGTTCCAGTAGACTCAGAGCAGCTTCATTAAGCTACATTATGGGTGAGAAGGACTAGTTCTTTTTTGCTGTAGTGTAATAAAATACCATAACCATTGCAGTGTAGATGATAGCAAGCATTGAGGAGCTACTATTAATAAATAAACTGGATCACTTGCTCTTATATCTGAGATATAAACACCACATCCTGGATTTGCTTCACATTATACCAGCAATATTAAGTTTGTCTGCAGATTAATTTAGCCTGCTGGTTGGATAAAACTGAAGCAGAACTGTTACTGTCTGCTTTAGTTGTAGTACCTGTATTTATTTGCTACTGAAGATGAGAATTCTTTGAGGGGAAAATCTATTTAATGAATGTAAGATATTCTTAATAATAACAGGCCAATATCTTAAAAGAACAGTTTCTATTCTTGGAAATAAAATGATAATACATCCAAATCCAACCTCATCAAATGGAAGCAAAGGGATGTTTTGGGGGTGGGTGAGCCAACTCTGTTTATACAGGTTTTCACATGACTTTTCTTTTAAAAAGTGCATGGAATGCATCCAAAACAAATAATGTTTTGTTAGATGAGAAGACCAAAAGGGAAATCCTAGAGAAAGGAGGATGGATAGTCTTTCTTTAATGTCAAAACTGACATAAACACATCCCCCTCCCCCTTTTGCTCAAGATAATTTTCTCAACAAGACCCAGATTGCTTCAGTCTTTGCCTATCACCCTTTGAAGCACTTGCCTTATTATTAGGAGTAGGGGCAGGGTTTCCTTTGAGGATTTTTACAGCAGTGAAGAGTTCCTCCTTTAAATACTTTCACATGATGGGGAAATTCCGCTTTCAAAGTGCTGTCATCGCTGTGGCTTCTCTGCCAATTTATTTTGGGGTGAAGGTCTTTCTTAGTTTGATTGTCAATAAGGACTTACCTTTCTGATGGATGCTTTCTATAGACCTTTGCTTTTTCTGAGAGACTTTGCCAGAAAACTCAGCATTCTCCTGTGTTAACCTTACTGGTGCAGTTGGCCATGTTTCTAGTAATGTGTTCCATCACATGGGATTGTATGTTCGTATTGGTTTCCCTTGTCAGTCTCCATGAATTAAGATTTAGGTGACATAGCAACATTCCATTTTGACAACTGCATTTCTTCTACAGTGCAAAGGGACACTGAATTTTGGCAAGTTTTGAAATGCTTTTTTTTTTAGTGTCTCCTCCAATGTTTGAATAATGCCATGGTAAACAACAAACTAGTCAAGTGTTTACAGTTTCCCCAGAAACACTGACATCTTTTGAGGTCCTCTGTGCCATGTCACTCCTCTTCACCCTGCTCTATTCATGAATATAGTCTTCTGGAAGATTCTATAAATATTTAAATCAAGGAGACAAAATGTATTGCTTTGTGGCTGAATAGCTCATTTGACACCAATTCCCTTCTTCCCCAAACCTTTAGTAGGCAGTGATTCACAATTATGAGGAAAGAATTAGAATTAAGAAACCCGAAATAGAATTGACAGTTTTCTTAGTATTATTGCTTCAGGACGAGCCTCTGTCTTTGTGGTTGTTTTAGATAAATGAATAAAAAATAACCTATTGTCCCAAATTATATTACATCATTTACATCATTACTCCTGGATTTTCCCTTAAATAGTGTGGTTATTAGAAAGTGAGAGAATCAGTATTGTTCAGGATCCATTCATGATCTGCTTCCACCTAGAGACCCCTCAGTTCAACAGTGTCAATCCAGTTGGCAGGCACAATGAATCCAGACATCGCAGGGAACATACTTCTTAGACCTGCAACCTCCTTCCTGCTAGAGTGTTCATATGAACAGCCTCTCGCCCTTTTATTAAGAGCCGTAGACCAAAGTCAGAGAACTCAGACTTTGTCTCTGGTTCTGCCACTACTTCCTGTATAACATTAGCAAGTAACTTCCCTTCCACTCTGTACCCCACTGCTGAAAAAACCCTGTAAAGTGAGCAGCCTAGCTGATCTTCATGTTTTTAACCATCCTAAATAAATAATAAGGTGACCTCACCTACATGGAGAGACTTACTTACAGAAATTGAGCCAGGTAGGATGTGCCAGTAAGAAACTAGCATTGGTATTTCTTAATCTAGTCTGTATAAAAGGAGTATGATTATGTTTTCTGTCTCCTGTGGGACTCTATGATGTACCATAATTATTCAGCCCAGTTTTATTGTTTAAGGCTAATTAGAAATCAGTTGAATGAATAATTTGAGCTGTGCCTTTGTACTGCACAGTGTTGTAGGCAGTGAAAAGACTCAGGTTAGTGAGTTCAGACTCTGCCTAGTCAGGGAGGAAAGCCTGAAAACAAATCACAAATCCAGTGTGATCAGTAGAATAAGATAAGTGTATATAAGATGCAGACATAGCTTGGGGAGGTATTCACACACACACACACACACACACACAGATATAATTTCTCCATGCCTAATTTGAATTCTAGAAATGGGAGAATGTATGTGGGGGAGGGGAGTAGCTTTATGGTAGATTAAAACAAAACAAAACTCCCAAGTCTTTACATGATTACTACTGAATCAAGCATGTGCCCCCATAATATTAGTTGCCATAAACTGCAGTCAAACGAGTTATGGCATGGAAGGTTAAAAAATATGCAGGATGTTCTCTTTCTTTTCATAGATAAATTATTTTTCAGTGTCCTCAAACATCACCATCTTTACTAGCCAACCTCTCTTTACTAGCAATCGGCACTCCGGTCACTGAACAAAGAACACCTAAGTGTGTCATTATAAACCAATTACTAGCCTAGAGTGTGTCAGGTTCTCTTTAGAATTCAGGAAATAGGGAGAAATACATTTCCTTAAGCATGCCCATGTGTCCTAGCATAATGAATTTTTGTGGAATGTTATTGAGAAGGTTAAGGTTTTCCTGGTGATGTGCAGCAATCTTGAACTCATATCAAGGAATAGTGAAGTTTAAACTCTGGGCGTTGAATCTAGCCCTGACTCTGAAAGGTGTTCTGTTGCACTGTGGGGAGTGGGGAGGAGGAGCCTGGGGGAGTTTCCTATTAAAACTTGACCTAAGCTAATTTGTTTTGTTTGAAATTGGAAATCATATTTTTGAAGACTAAATTCTGGGTTTTTTTTCAGTAGATGTATTAACACAAAGCACCATGCTTTTAAACAGGTTCCTTCTTTCTGCAGGAATAAATTTGGCTACTGAAAAAGCAAAAAAAAGAAATTACACCAGCAATGTCAGCAACATCCCACCTCTTTCATCACTTTTGGGGATGCAGGCATCAGCTCAGAAACTGCAGACATTTTTCCTGGAAATATGTAAAAACATCCCCATAAGTACTGACCACAAAACCTGGCTGTACAGTCATAAACATTTATACAATCTCATGGGCTCCTTACCACTGAGTTTCTTAAAGCTGTGTATTTTTAAGTCATTAGAACAAATAAAATTTGGAACAAGGTGCTAGTGGAGGGAAGGTACCCCCTGGAGATGCCTGAGGAGCACTGCTCTGTGACTCCTATGAAGGGAGCAAGCCTCTTGCCCATAAAATAAATAGAAGCTATGCTTTCCAGATACCCCTGTCCTGATAAATTAGGTTAAGGTAGAAACAACAGAATACTCATTTTTAAAAATATTTTAACAGTCCAAATTAAGTGCTGAGAAAGTGTGCTTCCTTTGAAAAGGCATGTGACAGGGCAAAGCCAACAGGCAGGTCACTTGGACTGTGTTTTGGAGAACATTGCACTGTGAGGCTCCTAGTGTTTTAGGGTCTGGCTGGTGACTTTGAAGAGAGGAGGAAGTAGTGTGAGAGAGCTTTATACATTCAGGGATGCTAGAGAAAACTACTACATGGTCTAAGGATGTTTCATTAAATGTAAAATCCCAATGCAACTGTAACCTGAATGTGAGGAAAAGGTTATTCTTAAAAAATAGTTGCAGTCTTGCAAAATATATTATCCTTCACCTTTTGACCTTTTTTTCCAGGTTGACAAAGTTAAGCATGATTCATATACTGAAGTTTTACAGTCTTAGTATTTCTTGAAGCATGCACTGTAACCTAAGGCTGTGTGTCTCCCGTCTCTGATTGCCTTCTCGTACCTTCCTGCCCCTAGGTTGGCCTTCATTCCATGATGTGATCAATTCTGATGCAGTCGCATTCACAGATGACTTTTCCTACGGGATGCACAGGGTGGAAACAAGCTGCTCTCAGGTCAGTTAATCCCACCTGAAAACACTGCTCACTCTGCACTGCAGACACTTTCAAGGCTCCTAGTTGTGCTGCATACAGCAACTAAGGCCAAGTGACTGATCACAAAAGGGATGGACAAGCACAGTGAAGTCTCTGTAAAGTCCTAATGTTATCTCAGTCTTTGGGTGTTTAGCAAGTCCAATCAAATGTCTGTCATTGGCTTCAGTGCTATTAGACAAAATCATTGGTAGGAAAAATTATCTTCAGTTGACTTAGTATAGTGGGGAATGGCTATTCTTAGGGCATATGAAGATTCCATTATGTGGCCTTATATAACCTGATGTTTAGTCCTCTCTGCCTGAAGCTCTGCGTACCCACTGTTCAGTACTAATACCCCCATGGGAATGATGCAAACACACACCAGCAAAGCTCCGAGAAATGAGGGAGGTTGTACAACGGCACTGGGAAGAGGAAGTTCAGTGGTAGGCTGAAGCAGGCCGGATAGGAAAACTTGATAAGCGAATTCCTTCTCTATTTCTCCTCATATATGGACCTATCCTCATTTTTAAGGATCTTCTAATTAGTTCCTTCCACTCTGCTCTAACCAAGTCATGCTGGCTCTTACAGAAGAGTGAACATGTGTTGAGGAGGAGGCAAAAATAGTTACTCTGTCACCCCAATCAAGAGACTTGAATTTGTTGATATTCTTAGTTAAACCCAGAGACATAGCCAGAACCTTCTTGACGCAGAATAAGAGCAACTGTGCATTCCATTCTACAGTAGGTCCTCCCATTTTAATTTGCTTTCAATAAGTGAAATGTAAAGTCTTGAGTATTGGGCACTGAAATTCACTGATGCTATGGAGTAATCTGCCGGCCATGGCTGTTGCACATATCAGAGGTAGAGGCGGTCCAACTGCCCGGGAGATGAGCAGTCAAGAACAGCACAGCTGCAATAGCCAAGTGATTGCCACACGTACCTCCCTCAGCATTCTTCTTCCTGCCCTTCACCCTTCTCCATTGGCACAAGGGTTTTAGGGAGTAGGTGGCATATTTACTACCAAGTAGGGAGGTGGACTGGTTTGAACCTAATTGACTGATGAATTTGTTTTCGTTTTTTTTTTAAATAAGGCTGGCAAGTTTCCTGTTTTCTAAGTGTGAAGACCACTCTCTCCTTTGAAAAACAGACTTCATATTTTATATGTCACATTTTCAGTTCAATATTATTTCTCAGATATGAGTCTTTGAGCAAGACAGTGGAACTTTCTGATCCTGGGTCTCACCCCCCAGAGATTCTAATTTAATTAGCTGGTTGTGGCCTGAACATCAGCATTTTTAAAAACTCCCCAGTTAATGCTCACAGTAACCTTATGGAGTAGAAATGGTGATTCTTATTTTCTAGTTGAGGAAACTGAGGCATAATGAGGGCAGTTACACTTGAGTAAATTTACGTAGAATTAAGTGGCAGAACTGAGACTTGAATTGAGGCATTTAGCTCCAGAGCTCTTTACAGTGGGTAGACAGATGGTAGATAGATGGATGCACCATAAAGAGTCATATTGAAATGCAGAAAAAAAGAAAAAAATTCTATGATCCCCCAACAGTTAGTTTAACTTAATTCAGTCTTGAAGTCAATTGAATTTTAATTGCTATTTTTATAACTTCCACAAAAACAAATTGTGATTACCCAGAAATCTAAAATATTTGACAAAAAAGCAACAGGGTAGGATGGCACACAACAATTTGTAACTTAGGCACATACTACTTAGTAAACCTCTTCTAAGGCTAGCAGTTGTTTATTTGTCTTTTTATTTTTATGCTCACTTAACTCTCCTTTTAACTCAGAACCCACTCTCAAACAGGAATCCTTTGACTACCAACTAAAACAGGTACAGAAAAAGTGTGGCCCAAGAGAATAACTTTCCTTAAGGCCTTACCTTCGGATGTCTTTGTGACTAATTCTTAAAGTCCACAGTTGGAATAAACTTTCCTCCTTTCTGTGGGCCCATCCCGGAGATGAGCAGTCAAGAAAAGGTCATTATGAAGGTGTCCTTCAGTGACCCAAGAGAAATGAAGCTCACAAACTATGCCAAAAATAGGCAACATTGATAAAAGGTACCAGGCTGACTCAGGCATACTCTTGGCCCTTTGGCGTGAGGCCCAGGTGGCCTGTCTATCCCTTGGGGCCTTCCCTAATAGTTGGGTGAAGCGCTGATGCCCATCTGTTCCTTTTTGGCTTCTTTTCCCACCACCATTACTTCTCATATTTAAAAGTGTTGCACCGTTTCTTAAAAAAAAGCCTTAACTTTAAAACAAAGAGGGGGTAAAATTGTTCCATGAAGACATGTATAAAAATAAATGCTTTGTAAAGTAATCCCACGCAGAAAATAATCAGTGTCTAGCCCTCAAGGATGATCCATTTGATGGATTTTTTGCCCCTTGTAGATGGAACATGGCGTCTGCCACACAGGGATGATCATCGCTCACTTAATGCTGGGTGTCTTTAATTTCAATCTCTTCATTAATTTTTGTGTTGCTCACACACTTATTTTCTGTTTATTTTTCTTTAGTTTTCTCTTCTCCATTTTTTCATTCATCCTTTTTATCTTGACTTAAAATAACTGGTTTAATGGTTCCCATGCTAAACTGACCACTTGTATTTTACCCCCTACTTTCTCATTCTTAACACTATTTTCATTTTCAGTTTATTTTCTGCTTTCCATTGTTCAGTTTGTGCAGTCTCTCCCCTTCCTTCTGACCCCTTCGTCTTTTTTCTCCTCCTTTTTCGTGGTGACAGTGTGTGGGAAAACTCTGATTTGTGTCTTCTCTTTCTAAAACTCTTGTATATTGAGTTCACATGGCTTGTCCTTTCTCTGGATGGAATGCATCAGTGTGGTTTGCTTTGTGAAGAATCTGTTAGATGCTTTAGTGTCTCATAGGCATTCTCAGCTGGTTGTGTTATGTGGAATACTTCTTTCCCTGTGGCAAAGATGGACTATCTATAAGCATGAAGGCTCTTTTACTGCCATTTATACAGATGGACTGAGCTTCCGTGGAGGAAACCGGTAGGCTCAGCCTGCTTGCCTGGCTACATGGCAGTTCTTTTTGGTCTCCTGGCCCCTCATTCTCAGTTTAGTGCTGGAGATTCTTCTCCTTCTTTGAATTATGATATGGATCACACTATGCAGTGAATTAGGCCTCATATTTCGGTAGGAATTGTAGGGGGCCGTAACCAGTTGCCGCTTCTTTATACAACATTGTAGTTTTTCCATGTGTGCACTGACTTCTTAGGTAATAGTATTTTACTATAAATGGAAAGGTGAGATTGGTTCCACTACTATCAGCATTTTTCAGAAATATATTGCAGTCAAGTCCTGAAAGATTTGCTGAGAGAAACCTAGCACACTGCCTGGTCTTTAAGTTAACAGCACAGAAAATACGCAAGCGGGGTGGAGATTCTTCACTGCCTCCATTAGGATTCCTGCTTGTGGAGGAAAGAGGTCACCCCATTATATTCTGTTTTTTGTTGTGACCATATTTGTTTCCTTTTACTAGTCTACCTACTGAATTGAGGGATTATATTCCAATGAACTCTTCTGAAAAGGATCTTTATCTTAAATTTGCCCACTTTGGTGGGTACCGGTATCTTTCCCTAGACTCTTGAAATTTCCTAATCATTTTCAGTTATAAAGAATTTACCTTAACTTTAATTTACATTTCTCAGCTAGTGATAAAATACATTGTTTCTATTCCAGTTTCCCTGACTACAATGAATAATTGTTTGACAGCTTCTCCCTAATCCTCAGACCCCAGCCTGTTTAGCAGCACTTTGTCAGGAGTTTAAATTCAGTGCAAAGAGGTAAGATTTGCATGGTTTAAGCTGTAGTTCAATGAAGCAAGTCCCTTCTGGAAATACTTGGGGAATTCTTCCTTCTTTAGATAAAAATTCTACATCTGCAGCAAATGGGACCAATAAATCACTAAATTTTTTGTAATCATCTTTAAGGAAACCTTCAGATCTCTGAGTTTACCCAGGCTAAAGTCCATTTATGACTGCAGCTATGACTGCTTGAATCTATGGTAGAGTCTCTTAAGTTTATTTTAGATCATTATTAATTTGTTCAAGTCAGCCAAATCAACAGAAAGGTAAATATCTACCAATACAAAGTATTTTTCAAAAGGTAAGCCTTTTTTTAAGACCCCCAAACCTTGTTAATCTTTTACAGATGACAACTCATACATTACTGATGATTAAAGATACCCATGTGTTACAATAGGGTTTCAGACTCACAGCTCATCTCTCTTTTTCTTGATCTTTCAGTAAAATCATAATGCTAAACTGGTGACTTCACAATCATTTCCTTGGCAAAAGATTAATATCATAAGCACAGAGGAAAAGAACCCAACTCACACAAGTGTCTTCAATAACGGTGGGAGAAAACAGGATACTACTGGCAAAGTAAATTGCTTTTCTACTTAGACTCTTCTCTCCTTCTCATCCTGCCCCTTGTGCCCACATGTAAGAGCCCTGCTTTAAAGCTGCTTCATCTTGTAGATCAAACACATAAGAGAAAATGACAATATTAAAGCTCCAAACATCCTAGGAATAGCTGGGAGAAAAACCCCTCCAGGACAGTTAGAAATACATCAGTGCAGAAATATGTAACTGTGTTGAATGCACAATTTGTGTTTCTTCTGCACACAATTGAGAATTGCAGTCTGATTTTAAGGAATTATGTTGTATTTGATGCTCAACCACTTTTTTCATGGGGGTTCTTCCCTTTGGTTCTCTACAGGTTCTTCAGTTGACAGCTTTTTCTGAGTGGGAGGTTTAGGTGATAAAGGATTCCTGTGGGAATGAAAATATTTTCTTTTGAACAGTTATCTCATGCTTCTTCAGAAAGAAAGCTAGGCTGCTTGGTTAGGGTTTGTATTTTACCTGTAAAGAGAAATACATAAGCATTTTAAAGCAACTTTAAAAATGCACACCAAAGATTCTACCCTGAAATGAATCATTAACAGCAGGTTTCCAAGATTTCTTCACCGGGCAACCAGTTTGTTTCAGTTACAACCAGGTGTGCCGAGAGATCCCAGCACATTGCCAGTTGGCTGGGGCCAGGGAGGCAGGGCTGGCTGCGGCTGAAGAAACAGTGCATCACTGACAACTTCCATTCATCATCCCGGCCTTCGGCCAGGCGTGCGACCTTGAAGGAATGGGCTCCGACCTTGAGGGAATGGGCTCCATGTGCATGCCCCTCAAGGAGGAGCCTTCAGGGCTTATGTGCTTTTAAAAGAAACGGGCATGATAAACTTTGATGGAAGCCTGGGTGTACTTGGGGGGAAGAAGAAATGGCACTTCCCTCTGCTAGAGAGCCCCGCAGCCTTGCTAGAGGTGAGGCGGGCATTCGCAGGGCGGCATAGCCAGAGACGGACACCCTGCTGTGTGTTGAAGTGCTGCACTCCCTCGCTTATCTGGACCTGGTGGGAATCTTTCAGAGAACCTCATGACAAGCACCAGGAAGTGATCATTATCCTTTTGAGGGGACTCACACCTTTTCTGAGGATTTCCTTATCCAAGCCCCAGACCCACAGCATTGTTCGCAAATGGTTTTTGTTGCCTTTCCCTAACTGTGATTTCTCTTCCTCACCACCAGTCCCCCTCCTGCCTTCTTTTCTCTTTTGCCTGGATTGGGGACATGTAGAATCTGTGTTTTCCTTTCTGTTTAACCAAAACACCAGTTCCAGACTGAGCAAATGAAACTTCAGACTGATAACTAACTCGGTTCAACAGGTTAAAATGCCCTAATTTGGATTTTTTAAAGATGATGTGGGAAATGAAGGCCATGTAAACACTCCTAAACGGTTTTACACACACCCTTCTGTGCTTTACTTCTGGAGTACCGTACATGGGACCGTCTTCTAAATATGCCCAAGAGATGACTGATAAAGGCAATATTTGTTTTGCCCAGATAGTTGTATTCTCTCATTTAATAAAAAAACCAAACCTACCTGAGGCTATTGTGTGAAAACTCCACCTCTCAGATGCCAAGTGATTGAAGTGCTAGGGCTGCATGTGAGACCAGTGGCTGTGCAAGCACACTGGTCACTGAGAGCACTAGTTCCTGTTGGCCTGCACACAGACTCTCTTGGCAGGCAGAAATAGGTATCCACTAGGTACGCATATGCATTTTTACTGGTGCATCCTAGCTGCTGATGCCTGAAAATTTGGCCTCAATTGTTTTAGAAAAGAAAAGCAGTCTGAGCTGTCAGACTTGATATTTCCTAAACCTGCATAGAATGTGGTAAAATAATGCAAGATTTGTTTTTTAGGCCTGTTTCATATTTTCCAGGCAATAGATCAAATCAGTTCAGGGTTCATTTTTAGTTCTTTAATAAGCTGACACAGTGTGTTAGCAGTAAAATAAGAATGTACTTTTAACATGGAAGTGCCAGATAGTCAATGTTGCTATTTGTGCTCTTCATTAATAACAAGAGAACCCTGGAGAATTTAGCACTTTCAAGGGGGGAAGCTGAGATTCTAGCTCTTTGCATTGTACTGAGTTCACCTCTCTCCCATCTCCATGTGGTATCTCAACCTTATTCCCTTTCAATTCCTACTCTCTCTCCCTGTAATTTAGAAGTGGTTTATGCCCCTAACAAGCATGGTGAGAAGAATTCATAAGTCATCTATATGCCTTTTCTCCCATTTTATCCTTAAGTCTTGACTTCCATCTGTTCAAAATGCTCCCCTAGATATCCATTCCTTCACTTCTTTTGGTTCTTATTCCAAAGCCAGCCCAGGAAAGCTAACCCAGGCCACCATACCTAAGAGGTCACTTTATATCACTTCCTCTTATTAATTTCTCCTGAGCATCTATTTCCACCTACCACTCCTGACAGCTCCCTTATTTCTTTGTGTAGTGTCTGCCTCTCCCACGAGACTGTAAGCTCCATGAGGCTAGGGATTGTTGCCTGTACCTCCAGTCTGGAACAGTGCCTGGCATGTAGCAGGCACTCCATGAATGCTTGTTAAATAAATGAATTGTGTCATTTACCCCAGGCTCTGGTTTCTTGTCGCATGACGAATGATGTGTTTTCACAGCCTGTTTGAATGTGGTGCATTTACATCTCTGGCCTTCGTCCCTGTCCCCACTGAGATAGGACGGGAGATGGGCAGCTGTGACACACGCTCTTGTCTCCTAGGGCTGCACCTGGCATCGGGGCTGTTAGCACAGGGCTTTATTCTGGGAGCCAGCCATTTTGGGGAAACATGGGTTTCTTTTAAACACCATCATAACCAGCCATCTCTCCATCTGCCCCTGGATTCCTGGTTCCCCAGCCTTTTGGATAGTCAGTAGCATGGATTTGAACTAAACAGCTTATTCCTTCAATACATAATAGATCTCACATAGGTAAAGAAGGCAGTGGCACTCCACCTATTGAGAACCAGGAGAGAAAAGGACGGGGTGGACAGGAATACCGTCATTTGCCACACTCAGCAGTACTGGTGACAGTGACATAAAACTACTGAGCTGTGCTGCGGCTTTGCTGGGTTCCAAGAATATCCAATGCTTGTCTCATGTTAAGTTTTACTGCTTGTGAAAGCAAACATCACCTCTGTCATGGCCAGTTAAACAGTATCTTTTACAGTGGACTTCTGCATATCTGAAGCCCACCCATCCAAAGCCTAAAGTCATGCCAGGGGGAGAGATTTTATTCTGGCATGTTTCTTATGAGGAGAGATCAAAGGTCAACTCAATTCATAAAATTACTGTAGTCATTTTTCAGCTGACCGAGAGACTCCATGGATTAAAAAATACAGTGGCTCCTAAATGATTTCTGATATGCACAATTCTAGTGTGTTTTATTCTCAACTTGTGGTGCAGAGCCTGCCAGAAACCTTTGCAGCTATTGACAGGCAGATTAGAAATCACCCGCCATGGTTTCCATCATTTCTCTGTGGGCTGGTCACCCATTCAAACTGCTTCCTGTGAGTTCCTCTCAAAGCCTGCTTTGTACACGCTTTTCCCTTACATTTTGCTCTTCTCTTTCAGTGTGGTGCTCACCTTGGGCATATTTTTGATGATGGGCCTCGTCCAACCGGCAAAAGATACTGCGTGAACTCGGCTTCCTTGTCTTTCACACCTGCAGAGAGCAGAGGTGCCACCGGAGGTGACAGCGGGGGCGGCCCCGGCAGGGCAGACAAGACAGAGCTGTAGAGTAGTGCAGAGTGATGGAAACAAGTGTACTGAATGCACAGCTGATTAAAAAAATTTCAGAATTGTCTATCTTAGATATATTTTTTCAACAAATGTGAGGGCAGTTTTATGCTATTTTTCTTCTTTGCTTAAACAGAGGCCCTGGCTGTCAATGTATTTTGCTATTGACTAGATTTGGAAGTGTTTCTGACTTTGAGTGAATGGCAACTGCTCTGTGAAACTTTTGCACAAGCCACCTAAGTACCATTTGACATTATTTTCTTCGAGCACATGGCTTCCTTTGAGATTTTTTCCCCCTTTGCTTAAGAGGCAGAAGGTGCTGGGTCTTCAAACATAAAAATGGAGGTCTTCTGTGTGGTATAGAGACCAGAGCTGGACTGGAGGCATGGGTACAGATTGACCCAAGATAAGGATGGAGTGATGTCTTGAGACTTCCAGCTTTGTGGAAAGTTTGAGCTAAGGTCGTTTATTCTCACTGAAAGGGTATAAAGGTCTAAAGTCTTTCCTTATGTTAAATTGTTGCCAGATCTGAAAGGGCACACTAAGAGTTGTGGCAGAGAAGTAAACATTACCTCACGTTAGGCCTTTATTTTATTTAATTCTCCATTGAAAACATTGGAATGTAAGACAACTATAAAATGCTGAGCCCCATTGTGCCCCAAGCCCACAAGGAAGGACACCCGCCACTGCCTTCTCTAAGTGCACCCCTCCACACCTAAGAGCAGCTGCAGCTGGTCGGGCGCTCAGACGAATTCCACTGTGTCAAGTAAGATACTGGGACAACACACGTCAGAGGGCAGCAGCACTAAGAGAGAGCAGAGAAGACCACGGAGGAAGTCCTGGCTACTGCAGTATCCAGTGCTGGGCAGGAAACTGTTAAGATACTGCAAGTGACAGACAAACCCAAAGGGGGTGACCTTGTGCACAAAGGTTCCGGGAACCCTGGAAAGATGTAGAGTTTACAGCAGAAATAGCCCAGAGCTCAAGTCCCACCCTGACACTGATCTGCTATTCAGCAAGGGACAAGCCTTTCAGCTTCTCCATTCCTATTCTGCATGTAGAAATTGAGATTTACGGTATTTGTAAAATAATTGGCACTCTCAGGGCAAAATTACTATATTTCTATACAATTAAGATCAGTGTTGTAAGAATTAAACTAATCTGGTTCTAATCGCCTCAAAGGCTGAAGCCCAGGCATTTGAAATGGAAAGAAGCAGAGAGGAGGTTGACTTAGCTGATTGGTATGGAAACAGTTGGGCGAAGAGCCAGGAAGTTTTCTTTGTAGCGATATGGCTGGTTTTACTCTGAGGAACTCTGCTGGGTTGCTGTATAACATTTAGTCTGGTGGGATGGATGTCATTGTGCATAATAAGGTTCTCACAGGAGTGAGCAGCGATGATTTAAGTTGAGATTGCCACAGCCAGGTGTTAAAGCACAGTTAATGACAGATACATAGTGTGCTTGTAGCCTTGAATACTAACCCTGAAACATTTTTTTAAAAATAGGATTTACATAAATCTTTGAAAGCTTGTGAAAACTGACATCTTCCCTTGTAAGCACCAGGACAAAATAAGAAAAAGGAACACTTGACAATTTTAAAGAAACAATGAAAAACTAAAATGAGAAGTTGTGACAAATGAAAATGTCAGTGGGTCACATGCACAATATTCTGTGCCTCCACAAACACTTCCTGGTGAGGCCCTAACATCCCAGTGACTCTTCACTGTCGTGACACACCATGGCTTTGCAATTCCAGGACAGTTATGTTCTTCCTCCCTTAGCTCCTAGGATGTTCACCTCAGGCCTGGAACCCTCTGCAGTTCACAGGTTTCACTCCCTTCCAGAAGTGAGATGTAAAATTTAAGACCATAGGAACCTCAGGGCCCAGACCATTCTAGAAGCCTTATCTGATCTTGTAGAGAGAGGTCCAATGGTGGTTTCCCAGAAATCCAAGAATCCCTTGTGGGGTGTGCTGAAGAAGTGTGTTTTGGGTCACTTTTCTGTCACAGTGTGCAGTCCATCCTCCCAGGGCACGCAGCACTTGTCATGTCACTCCAGCTCTGCGTGGTGGCCCTGAGGGTCCCTGGACACGGCCACCGTGTTGGGGTGGAAAAGGGAGATGAACAAAGGGCTTCTTTCCTCTCCCCAGAGACTGTTCTCACTATTTCTTTTTATTATAGGGCCTACCCGTTTTCTCTCAAAAATTCCTTTCCTAATCCTTACTCTTTGTTTCAAGGAAAGCTGGTTTTTCTTTTACCACGTTTTCCAACAACCATGCAGCCTTAAAAAAATGCAGCATCCATTGGGGAAAAAAAAGTGGGGTATATGCATGTGGTTTAATTCCAGATTGCTTTTGAGTTTAAGTGGTATCAAATTTCAATATATTTCTGTCTTATGTTAAAGAAATATATTGCTAAAACGTCAGTGAGTAATAATGTCAGCTGTCGAGTGCTAGATTTATTTTTGTGGGATATGGAGTGCAATGAACTGAGTCAATATGGTGAGGTGTATGTGATCTGTGGGAGTTATGCCATTTCACGTAGGAAATGCATGGGACTCTCCCTTTCTGCACTCCAGCCGTTACTGTACCATTAGGAGACAGGTTCCTGCCAATGTGTAGACAGTGCCCCCATGCAGTCATGCAGAATGGATCTGAGGAAAGCAGCAGTGTATATTGTACTAGAGAACTTGTCTGCGTGTTAAAACTTCTCACTTCTTAGATGCATTTAAATTCTTAATGCAAATGACATAGCAGTTTAAAAGCTTCTCCCTCTTCATTAAATTGGAAATGCCTCACTATCAACATAGAACATGATCAAAGGAATTATCATGTGTCATGAGGGTCAAATATTATTTTTGCCTTAGATAGCTTTGTAATAACTTTTCTCCAAAAAATTCAAAAGGTTTTGAAAAATGACTTGAAATTTTCATTAAAAACCCTTTTCCTATGTTTCTTGTATACAGAAATTATGCAATAAAGTTTCTCTATAAAAATATTTTCTCTGATTCCTAAAGATTCCCCTTGTTTTAGCACAGATCATCCGGTGGTGTTTGCCATAGGCATCTCTGTTTACCTCCTCCCCAGCTTGATGTGTCTGTAGTTTGTACAGGGGCCTTTTATTTGATGTGGCCACTGCAAGATGGGGCTCTGACTGCAGGGTCGACTCCAGCTCTCCGAACCCCAGGCCCCAGGAAAGGCCTCCAGGGATCTGAAAGATTGGAGGAAAGGGAAACATTTGCAGAATTACTCAACCTTCACCTCACCTCAGCAAAACCTTCAGCAGCTTGTGTGTGTTTTTGTGCTTAAAATATGGGCTTTGGGGAGTTCCACTATGATAACTCTATGGATAAAAATCCAGGAATGCTGATGTCTAGGCTTCCGTTAAAGAATATGACGGGAAACCCATATTATTGTCAAGTGCTGGTCTCAAGGGAGATACATTCTGCCTTCCCTACTGCTCACAGATGAATTCACCTATAAAGTCATTGCTGCAGAAGAATTTTGGTATATTATTTGTTGTTGTAATTGTTTAATTTTTTTGGTTTGTTTTGTTGTTTATTTGGGGGAGTAGAAGTGAGGTGATCAGGACTTTCGTTTTTAAGCCAATTCTTTAGATCATTTTCCTGGGATCCTAATATTTGTGGGCCAGCAATTTCATGTGGTGAATTTGAACACTGCTTCTCAAAGTGTGGTCCCCAGTCTGCAGCTTCAGCATCACCTGTAACCTGCTACACATACTCGCTTTCAGGCCCTCCCCAAGACATACTGCAAGGAGGCTGTGGGTGGGGCCTTCACACATTTTAGCAAGCCCTCCATGTGGTTCAGGTGCGTGATCAAGTTTGAGAACCATTGCCTTGGAATTTTTAGTGAGAAAAGTTCACTTTGTTTTAAAAGAGTATTTATATGACTCTCAGAGAGGACTGGTTTTGTCATCCATCACTTGTTGTCTTCCTACAGAGATGGGTCGAAGAGTTTCTCCAAAGTTCCATGCTTTTCAGCTCCTCTTGTCCTTTGCTATCCATTTGTCTTGCTCTGGAAGACTGGCCTGTCCTCATCAGCCAGCACCACCTCAACTCCCGCTTGCAATTCCAGGGTGAACCTGGGCTGCCCAGTGGTGCTCACGAGTGTCCTTCTGAAACTGCAGGAGATCCATGGCAGGGTTCTGCTCAGCAATTCCAAGAACTAGAGAACAGATCTCTGTGTAAATTCACATATGACCTTTCCCATCTACCTCTTCCACTTCCTTGTACCTATACCTTTCATCATCACCTTATTTTTAAACCATCAAGAGATTTTTACAAAGGTGTGTATCTGAGTCATGACTCTTTTTTTGGTCAGAAAATTTCTGTTATTCCCCAGATTTTAATGCAATGACATCCAGAAGATGCTGGCATTCAAAAAAGGTTGTATTAAAAATTGTTCTTGGAGAAAGGTTTATAAGCACCCCATGCTGACTTCTAACTGAAGTTTACTGTGCACTGTATATGACAGAAGTGTCACCACTTTGATGTGGGACTTGAAAAAGTACCATTTGCCATAGAAGAATATTCTGGCAAGAACGGTTCCTGTCCACTTGCTTCTGGAGCAGCTAGCCTTAGCCTGGACCAGCCTGGAAAGGCAAGGCCAGAAGATGAGTGTGAATTCTGACCTGGGCAGCTCTGAGCCCAGAAGCCTGGAAGTCTGTCATGTGAGTCGGGCTTTTCCCGAGTCACTGGGTGAGGCCATAGTGACCTGAGATTTGGGAACCAAATCAGAGCCTCAGGCACACATAAGATTTTCCCAAATTTCAGACTCATGATGGAACCACACTAACTTGTCTGATTATGGATGCCAGGGAACCTCATTCTTATTTCAAGGTTTGTAATTCCCCTTCCAGCAAACACACACTTAACTGGCGGTGTCATCCAGACTGGGCAGGAAGCTGGCAGATTTTCAGAAATAAGAAGCAGGACAAGTTAACTAGTAATTATTAAGTGCTTACTTCAACACTGTAATGACAGGGCAAGGGTGTAGAGAGGTGTAGAAATAACTAGAAAGCCAAAGTAATAGAGGTTGTATATATTAGCACAGGACAGAGTGGTCAGAGTTACAGTGTAGCTGCCTAAAGGTTTATTCCCAAAGTTCTTAATCCTGCCATGGGACTCCTTTTTACCTTCATGATGCTGTGTATTAAGTAATCTGGTATCTCTAATATGAGGTAAATAGTCTTACTCCCATTTTATAGCTTGTGGAGCTAAAGCTCAAAGCAATTAAATTGCATAGCTAGTACACGACCAAATTGAAATACAAGTTTGTTTAAAATCTGTGCTTGCCATTCAACACTAACCTGCCTCCAGTGTAGAACACTGGCTATGTGGACAGTGTTCATTTGCAGGTAGGTTTCACAGAGGTAGAAAATGTGTTTTTATCATTCCTTTTTTGTTTCAAGTTAGTTGCAACTTGCCTTTTCAAAACATGTTCTGCAGTGTGACTGCCTTATTTCAGAGAGGGCTTATTAAGCATTATACACCTTGACTTTATACTTAAGTGATAGAGAGTTTTATTTGTCTTTATTATGTTTCCCTAAGGACTATTTTTAATACTCCTTATGATTTCTAACTATCACAGGGGGAAAAAAACCCACTTCTGCATTCATATGGAGAAAAGAAAGACTAGAGGTGATATTAAAGATGCTTTTGATCAAAATATTCCATTTCTGGCATAGTTGATGAGTTAATCTCTCCTCATCTGCAGAGCCCTGCGAGTGGAGGTGGGTGTCTTACCAGTGTCACTAAGTCAGTGAGACTCTGCAACGCCAGCCTGAAGGAGGGGGACAGGTTCCCAAGGGCTCTGGCCACACCCAGAGCAGGGCTGAGGGGTGTAGGATGTACCTACCCCAGGAGCTGATGTAATAAAGTGGTTTGTTTCTATTTGATTACAATTCATGACAGATTGATAACCGAAGGCATTCAGACTTGGTGTTTCACCCCCCAGCCCCCCTTCTCTAACACTACAGCTTGTAAGGCTAGTCAGGCATCTGGTGTGTGTTAGATGGCTGAGTTGCATCAGCCTTGTGATTGCTGGGAAACATCTCTTAGCCTTCGAGGGTTTGGAGAGAAGACTATGGGGCCACAAAATGGCCTCATCCGGTTTACATCTTCATTACTGTGCTTCCCACATACCTGCTTACATCTGGAAAAAATCTCCAGGTAAACCTCTTGGGTGCTCTTTCTAAAGAGTAACTGTAATTATTAGGGTTATACCCAAGTTCAGCTTAGAATAGGTATGTGGCTGAACTTCAGCCAAAATCCTGTGCCTGCCTGAAAGAAATTTTCTTTTTTTACATCCAATTACATAGGAGGGGCCTCTTCCCCACACATGGCCAGTGGGGTTCCTGGTTCTCTACTCCAGGGCTTCTACTTTTGCCCTTATGGAAAAGGCAAGGAGATTTTAAGGAAAAAACTGCAAGATCTCCTGGGATCTCCCTCTGACTTTTTTTCTCAGTACCAAATTCCAGAATTCTAATATTGATTGTAGATCATGTCAAAGTTTTACAACTGCTAAGTCTTTTCCCCACTAGGTCCTATCACAAATTTGACCTTACCAGGGGACAGTATTAAAAAACAATTTCTATTTATGTTTCCTGCTTCCCTCCCTTGTACAGGGTCATCCATTCAGCCCACCCTTATTGAGCACTAAACTAGATGCCAAGCACTGTGCTAGGCAGAGGAACCTAAAACTGAGTCAGATTCAATGCTTGCAGTTGGTTGGAAAAACTGGCAGGCAGCTAATTACACACAGGATTGGAGTGTTGCATAGGGTCACTCAGAAGTGTGAACGGAACATTAGAACTCGGGAGAAGAACAAATTGTACCATAGGAAAGCAGTGTAGCAGAGAGGGTGGCAGTCGAGGAAAGTCTCATTTAGAGATGAAACATAGCTGGGTTTTGAAGAATATGTGACATTTAACATAGAGGAGAATAAAACAAGGTAGTCCAGAGAAACAAGAGAATGCAATAATTAATAAGGGACTTGTGTAGGCTATAACTTTTCAGATGCACTTCTGGTTATTTTCATAAATAGTGGTTTTGCAAGATAGTTTCATGATATGATGCTTTTTCACTTGCTTCCCTCTCCTTTTCAAAACATTTAACCTCAGTTTAAAAAAATGTGTGTTTATGTGTGTGTGTGTATGTGTATATATACATATTAGAGAGAGAGATTGAATAATTTCACCATAATTATAGATCTAGAAAGTTCTAGGGCAAATGCAAGGAGGGCCATTTGACTCCAAAGCTCATTCTCTTAAATGGAGATGTTTTGATCCTGACCTCTGTAAATATAAAATTCTTGAGCATGCACACCTAGTATGTAAATTTGCTTTTAAATTATGTGCTTCCATCACTGTAGTAATAGAGTATGCACATTCTAAAATATATACAAAGATGAGATAAAAAATTTTAAAACATAAATTGAAAAATAAATGTTATTTTAATGGTACCAAAATATTTTACCTTTACTAAACTAGTAAGATTTTAAGTAATATTTTCAGTGAAAGCAGTGTGATTTGAATACATCATTTAAAAATATCTAGCTTTTACAGTTTGTAAAACTGTTTGCAGGTATGGATCTAAATTCAATTCACTGTAAGACTTTCTTACATGGCAGACATAACTGAAAACTGCTTTCCAGTGACATCCCAATGGCAAGGCTGTCTTGGGCTCACTTATGAATCATGACGCTCACCTCTTATTCCTAATCACTGGTGAACCACGGTGTCTGGAATTTTGGTTAGGGGATCTTCATAGTCCCAGGTGTCAATAAGGTATCATTGTAGATTATTCAAACATTTACAAAATACCTAGCAAATGTGAAAATCCAATGAACAGGATTGAAAAATTTTGAAATTCTGATCCTAAGTTTTAAAAGTATTCAGTTGTGAAAGATTCTTTAAGGTAAGGCACGTACATTGTTTTGGCAATAAGAATCACACACAAGTGGAAAGAGTTCCAAA